AAGAAACTTCTACTCTCAGTACAATGGACCTTCTTAGTGGTCTCTTGCATAGCAGGTTTCGTCATCACAATGGATCCATGACTCATGTTTGTTTTCCATTCTTCCTTTTCTAAGTGGGAGAAATTATTGGAGATATGAAACAGTTATCCTCTGCTTCACCACTGTTTATTAGGGTATTAGTGAGGCTGGGGAAGTGTAGGTAAATTTCATAGTCTATAAACCTCAAGGAACCACATTCCAACTTGAGAGGGAGGACTGTGCATTGGCTTAAGATCATTGACTTTGTGCTGGATGCAGTAAATGGGGAACTTTAAGATCTCCCTACCCAGGAGGCAGAAAAAAGGATGTGCATGGCTATTTTATAAACAGATAGGGGAACCATAAAATAAACTGTTGGCTAGTCATGAAAATACATGTTTCCTTTTTTTTTTTTTCTGAGACACTGAACTATATTTCCCAGCTTCTTTTGATGCTAGTTGTGGGCATGTGACTGAGTTTCAGCCAGTGGAATATGAGAAAATTAATGTTTGCTACTTCTAGAACTAACCTATAAAAATTTTCCATATATACTCATTCATCTGGCTGAAATGGAGATGATCTGCAGAGTGATGCTGGAAATAATGTGATGAAGATGGTAGAGCCTATAACATCCTGGATCCTAAATGACTGCACAGAAAAGAGCTATTCAACCAACTTGTTTTCCTCTTTCATACTGCAGTAAGAATAAAAAATAAACTTGTAGCATTTGAGACTCTATACATATTGTATCTATTAGTTACAGTACAGTATCACCCTAACGAGAACAAATATGTTTAGATATCTCCATATTAACTGATGAAATTATTAAACTGTAATTTTCCTAATGAGCATTATTAAAGTTCTCAAATGTGAATTTGAAATCTGTTTAGATCAAACTGTACTGTTTATTTATTTATATAGTAACACAGAGCAATGCTAACAATGATCCTAACACAGTCAGTAAAAGACATCCCCAAATTAATAATTTAATAAATTAATAATTTCTACTTATGTATAAGAAAATTATAATTCAGNTATTGGGCTTTCAGATTATTTTATTTATTTATAGGACTTTATTTTTCTACATATAAATTTTAATTGGTTATATGTATTCTAAATATTTTTTCACCTTGCATCTCTTGTTTTACAGGAATATCTTTTCCTTTATCAAGTGTACTTTCTGTATCATACTATGAAATAGGTATGTATTCTTTTGGTATGAACTATTTCTACTTACTTTCTGACTTCTATTGCAACTAATTTGTTTATCCTTCAGTTATTTAGAAATTTGTTTATTACTTACTCCCCCATCCCCACCCCCAAAGGAGTGGAAACAGGTGGGAATGAGAAGCAACATGTAAAAAAAAAGAGGGTGGGGGTTGAGGAAGGAGACATTACCTTCTTTTGCTTCTGATTTCTAATTTACTATACTTTGTTCAAAGCTGTGGTTGTAGGATATTGATTTTTTTTAATTGGGGTACTTGGTATGTGACTAGTACATGGGTAATTTTTTATAAATACTCCATGCATCATTGAAAAGAATGGGTAGAAAATCCTGCATCTAGAGCATAGTCTAAAACATATAAACTTCCTGTTATCTTCTTTGCTGATGAGTGAACTTTCCTCGAATTTTACTAAGGTAAAATTTTAATGGAAATTTTTGAGGTTATCAAATTATTACCATTAATAGACAATAGAAGTAAAAATTTTTACATGGATAAAAAGATTTAATAGATTATAATATTAAATATTGACTGTATAAAGCATCTATCCTACAAATAAAAATTTTTGCTCTTATTAAATTAATAAAAATTATAAGAGCTTTGAAAATTCACAAGTACACAAAATGTATTTCTCCATTGGTAGGCAGGGCTGCACTTATTTTTTGCTCCTTAAAAACTCTATACAGTCTTTCATTATTCATATTCTGCATATTATATGTATTAAGGAAAAGTTACATTCTTTTTTTATTTTTTTAAGATTTTATTGGGGAACTGGCGGAGGGAATAGCATTGGGGAATCAATTGGGACAAGTTGCTGTCCTTCTGTTCTTCAGTCTAGTTGTGGAGGACATAGCTTCACTGGCCCATGTTGGTATTGTGATCATTGAGCTCTTCCTGGCTGAGGCGGATGGGTCGCTGGCCATCGGACGGCCGCTCACAGTGGCTCATGTCAGCTCACACTGGCTGCTGGCCGCTCTCACTGGCTGCCGGCCACTCATGGTAGCTTACGGCAGCCCACTGAAGCACCACTGCAGCCTACGCCATTGCCAGCGACTCACGGGAGCACAAATCCAGGTCAAGCTGTTGTTCACCATCTTAGCTGTAGAGGGCGCAGTGTCACTGGCCTATGTGGGATCTGAACCGGTGGCCTTGCTGCTCAGAGCCCACGCTCCCAAGCCAATTAACCAGCGAGCCACTCAGCCGGCCCCAGAAAAGTTACATTCTTAATATCACACATGATTGCTTTTTTTCTTTATCTTAATTCATAGGAACATATCAAAGAGAAGACACTGCTTACCAATTTGCTTTCTGTACTGATCAACAGGAAGTTTTATAGTGGAGGCATCTTTTCTACCCATCTTTGATCTCCAAAATGTCCGCTGCAAAGAAAGAAAATTATGATGAAGTCCTAAAAAAATCAAAAGGACTATCTACAAACTTCAGGAATAGTTTATTCCATAAAATTCATTTTTAAAGCAATGAGTAAAAATGCCTTTGATATTCCCATTAGATATCAGTAAAGAACACAAAATTTAAATCAATTATCAAGGATACAATTCCTGGTAATTAAATTTCCCAATCATTTGTTCTTGGTAACACTCATTTTATCAAGTACTATCAATACTCCATTAAATCACACTTTTAGAGAGCATTATTTGTAAATGTGAAAATCATGCACTATTTATTCAGATGGTTTGGAGCTGTAGGCATGCTCTTAACAGTATGTTTCTTTCCAATTACCTACTATGCTGTAAAAAAAG